CTTTGGAGAAGGAAAGATATTAAAAAAGCCTCGGGGCTTCCCTGGTGGCGCAGTGGTTGAGAGTCCGCCTGCCGATGCAGGGGACACGGGTTCGTGCCAGCTGCCCGGCCAAGGGCCCTGAGCTGGGAAAGGCTGCAGCCCAGCAGGCTCCCCACACCGGCCGGGACACTCGGCAGAGCAGCAGGGACCTCCTGCAAATCAGCACGACTGGGGGCGGCCGAAGGACAGGGTCGGAATCTGGACAGTCTGATGGTTTGGGAAGCAAGGGACATAAACGAAGCAAAACACTGTGATGGGTTTGAACACAGGCTTTGAGGACACACACGCTGGGCCCCAGGCATGCCCGACACAGAGATTCCGGAGACGACATGGAGCAGAAGCCCCGGCTACACGGGCCGCCACCGTCTGTCAGCCGGGTGCCACCCAGACAGCACAGAGCGCCGGGGGCTCAAAGCGAAGCCCCTGGAGATCAGGGCAGTGGGCTCTGGCTTGTTTATTTCATTGTACCAGTAACCGGCTCGAGTTGGTTTCCTAAGAAAATACTGAGAACATTTTTTTTAATGTAAGGATCTTTATGGCAGAACATCCCAAAAGACATTGGCTGGTGGTGAGGTCCTGAAGGTAGGGGGCCCTGGAGATGGCCCTACTCAGAAAGGGGCTGGGAGGGAGGGAGGGAACCCTGATAAACAAAACAAAATCAGCCCCGCTCTTCAAACTCCAGGTTCACACCAGCCTGATCTAACAAGGAGGGTGGGTGTGGGTGTGTGTGTGGCTGTGTGTGTGTGTCGGGTCTATGTGTGTCCTGGGTGTGTGTGTCTGTGTGTCTGTGCCGGGTCTATGCGTGTCCTAGGTGTGTGTGTCTGTATGTCTGTGTGTGTGTGCCAGGTCTATGTGTGTCCTGGGTGTGTGTGTGTGTCTGTGTGTGTGCTAGGTCTGCATGTGCGTGTATTTGTGTGTCAGCGCATGTCCTGGGTGTGTGTGTGCACACACGGACACATCCCCGCCCCGTGAACTCACTGAGGGTCTGGACGCCGGGAAGTCCTGCATTCAGGCCACGCGCCCCTCCCTCCCCTGCCCGCTCAGCCTCGCGCCTCAGCTGCAGGCCCTGGTCCCAAGCCCCCCACTCCCCAGCACAACCCACAGCCCCAGCACAGCCTGGTCCCCAGCGACCACCGTGACTCACAGCCCCCTTCCCTAGGGCCACTTCAGCCTCAAACACACATCGCTTCCAGAGTCGTTCAGAGCAAGGCTTCTCTGCTTTTACACACTTGGGTTACAGACTTGCATATCTCGATGCCACGTTATAAGACCCCCAACACTGGAAGCACTAAAAATGCCGCTGCTTCACGCCAGGATCAAATTTCCAACACAGGCTGAGCCCGCCGAGCTCATTCCTGCCGAGTTAGCTGCGTCCACACCATGGCAGCAAGGGAAGAGCCTCTGCCCGGGGACGAGCATCTCTCCATGAAAGAGGAGCCACACAAACACACACAAGGAACAACACAGCTCCTGACGAGGCTACTCTACAGTGCTGTTGACTCCGAGCTCAGCATTTCCTCGACAGCCATTTACTGAGCCGCTGCTGTGAGCCAACGCTCAATGCCGGGCATCGTGAGGAAGGAACCAGTGATTCCAAACAGGGTCCAGGGCAGCTCCTCCAGAAACGCACAGGCTGGCTTAAGAGATGATCGATTTGCATAAATAATAACATACGGTCCTCGGAGGTGGTACTGACGCAGTGCAAAGACGGCCTGGAGGGAAACGTGGCCCTTCCCTGGGGACATCAGAGAGGGCTTCATGGAGGAGGTGGGACTGACCTCAGAGACGTGGAAAGAAGGCCTTCCAGACAAAGGGAGAGGCACATGCAAGGGTGGAGGCCCACCAGGCCTGGACTTCAGGGGAGAGCGAGCATTTCCATTCCTCCAGACAGACATTCAAGCAGAAAGTCAGACTGGAAAGGTCTGCTAGAGACCAACCGTGAGGCCTGGAGTTGAAATGTGTCTTCAGGGAAACCTTAGTCACCGAAAGATTTTAAATAGGTGAGTAAGGCCATCTGGCATGTGTTTCTGGAAGATAAGCCTGGAACTCGGGGAGAATGAAGCAGGGAGAACAGTCAGGAAGCTTCTAGCTCAGGCAGAACCAGGGAAGGGATGGCGGGGCAGAGCAGGTGCGAGGGATGCTCTGAAAATAGGGTCACAGCTGGTCCTGCGCAGGGACCAGGACCCAGGAGGGCGCCAGGGTGCCAGGCTCAGAGCGGAGAGAAGGCGATGTGGTGACAGAGGACAGACACAGAGGACGTGCGGGCTCGGGGGTAACGTGCCCACCTGCACACCTGGAGCCGAGAAACCTGCCCGGAAACAGGAGCGAGGCCGAGGGAAGAGGTGGGTTTTGTGTCATCGGGAACATCTGCCCGGAGGTGATGGCTGAAATCACGGCATCCCCATGAATTCAGAGAAGTAAACGTTCATGCAGAGGGGCTGAAGGAACACCTGTGTTAGGGAGTTATAGCAGGTGGTGCAGCAGAGGTGGAGCTGATACCAGGGAAAGGGCGGCACCTGCAGGGCGTGGACTGCAAGCCCGGGCGTCAGAGGCTGCGGCGGGGCACGGGCCTTGACGGAGCCCAGGTGAGCAGGGGTCTCTGGAGACGTGTGAGACCATTTTTGCAGTTCGAAAATGTGTATGGAAAGTGGAGATAGTAAAAATCGACTTTAAATAGTTTGAAGAAGGGAAGGGAGGTGGACGTCACATAAGATCTCTGGAACTTGGGAACCAGCGATGCCACTTCTGCACGCACACACCTAAAAGGACCAAAAGCAGGGTCTTGGAGAGACGCTTGCACACCCACATTCATGGCAGCATTATTCACAATAGCCTAAAGGTGGGAGCAACCCAAGTGCCCATTGACGGATGCCTGGATAAACAAAATGTATGTCGTCCATCCACACCATAGAATATGATCCAGCCTTAAAAAGGAGGACATTCTGGGACTTCCCAGGCGGTCCAGTGGTTGAGACTCTGCGCTTCCTCTGCAGGTGTGCAGGTTCAATCCCTAGTCGGGGAACTAAGATCCCACATGCCGCATGGCACTGCCCCCCCCCCACAAAAAAGGAGGACTTTTTGACATTTGCTACAACACGGATGGACCTTGAGGGCTTGATGCTCAGTGGAACAAACCAGACACAAAAGGACAAACCCTCTATGACTCTATTTACACGAGGCTCCCAGAGTAGCCAAAGTCATAAAGACAGAAGGGAGAAGGGGGGGTGCCGGGGGGCGGGGCTGAAGACGGAGCGGGAGCTCGTGTTTAATGGGGACAGAGTTTCAGTTTTTCGAGATCAAGAGAGTCCTGGAGATGGAGGGTGGTGATGGAGGCACAACAACGTGAGTACTTAACTTCCGTCGCTGAGCTGCAGGATGGAAAACGGTTCAGAAGGTCAATTTTATGTTATGCGTATTTTACCACAATTTAAAATGTTTTGTGATCTTCAAAAAGAGAGGGAGAGAGGTAGGTAGGGTGAGAGGGGCATTCTCAGGTCAGGACAGTTTGCCTGTGGATGGAAAGGGCGTGAGAGAGAGAGATGGAGCAGGCAGACAGCGGGGGCAGAGGAAGGGAGGGAAGGTTCCCGAGGAAGAGAAGGAAAACGTCCTTCCCTGAGGAAGGAGGGAATGATGACGAGGGGGACGTGAGAAACCGGCGAAACGGTCAGGACAAAAGAGAGAACAGAGCAACGGCTGTCGGGTGGTACCGTCAGCCTGCGAAAGCACAAATACAGACGAACACTGGCCAGAAAGTGTGGACGGCTGGGCGGAGCTGGGTTCTGAGGGAACCAGGAAGGGGCCAACCTTCGTGGGGAATGAGGGTCGGGGGGCAGGGTGAGTCGGGAGCTGCAGTGAGAGCGACTGTGTCCTGACTCAGTGGCTTCCCTCGATGGCCGTCTCACTGAGGAGGGGACGAAAACACAAGTGGACGGACCCGGAGGCTGGCACATAGTAGGGCTTCAGGTAATGTTGGTGGAATGGGATGGAACAGTATAAAACGGAACAAAATAGAAAATCCTGGCGGGAAACGTCTTTGTGTGACTTCAAGCAATCAAACATATATTTAATTCTTATTATTGTACATATAGAATGGATAAACAAGGTCCTACCGTAGAGCACAGGGAACTGCATTCAGTAGCCCATGATAAACCATCATGGAAAAGAATATGAAAAAGAATGTATGTATCTATATCTATATATATTTTATATGTATAGCTGGATCACAGCAGAAATTAACAAAACATTGTAAATCAACTACACTTCAATAAACTAAATTATATATATATATATATATATATATATATATATTGCATTTTTTAATAAACTCCTTGAAAAATCACACCGTCAAGTGTCGAATCAACACTGTATCACAGCACACGATCCTGACACAGGGAAAATCGTACTTTTTAAAGGACAGGTGCACATCTGTGTCCCCAATACATTTGTCGTTCTTATCACTGACAAAGATAAACTGAAGGCAGAGAGAATTACGGTTACAATGGGGCAAAACAAAGAGCTCATCACTCAAAACCAAAAGCATAAAAAAAGTCTCTTCAAAACACTAAACTGTTTCCCAGAGAGAACCAAGCTCTCCAGCTCACTAATGGCTATTATCAAGATAAGGGAGAATCAGTCTGTATATCCCCCTCCTCCAAAAACGACATTTATTGTAAATCAGCAATACCCACGATTGTGGCGCACACATCTACGAAAGTGACATCTGTTCTTAGAAGCCTTTTTACCCAAAGTCAATACTGTGTGTCCAACCCCAGTGCCATTGGGGGGATTTTCCACCGCTGTTCACAAACAATCCCAAGAAAACGAATGCTAGGAAGAGGGAAACGCTAATCCTGGCCAGCCCCAATCCATCTAAGATTCTTCATACAATCATACACACGAATATTCCTCGCTGCAAAACGAAATCAAAGAACAGGAATGAGGACAGATTCACTCGAACTCACCAAATGGTGCCACAGATGGACGGTGACGAGAGGGGAATTCTGGGAGAGCTTCAGCGTCGGGAAGACCTCCAGGGATATCAGACAGCTGCTCACAGACAGCAAGCAGTGCTTGTAATTTGCTGCCTCAGCAATCCTTGGAAAGAAATGAAAAATCATCACAAAACACACAGGAAAAGAAAACAACCCTTGGGTTTAAAATTTAATGTTAAGTCTGAGACTTTTTGAAATCGTTTTTGGATGGAGCTTTGATTTCTATCGAAGAGCTGCTCTCTTTAGGGCTTGATGCTGGTACCGAAAGGTGAGAGGGAGCCCTTGACCTCACAGAGTCTATAATCTAGTAGGAGAAGGGGGTTGGCCCAGGATGTGGGGAAGAACAGAAAGGTCAAAACAATGAGCCTGAGTCTCAGCCACCCATTTCCTTGGCCTTGGACGAGTGACTTACCTATCGGGACTGTTTGCCTTAACTATAAACCGGTGTGGTAAATAGTAGTGTGATAGATAGCTGTTGTCTTGTCACCCTTCACCCTTCTCCTGATAAAGGCACCTCAGCTTCCCTCCAGGTGATACCCCTTCCCCACTTGCAGCCCACGTGCTTTGGAGGGAACTCCATCCTTGGCTAAGAGTAAAGCCTGCTATCCTGACCTGAATGCATCAGTGCACTGCATTCCTCAGACCATGCTGACTGTTCAGACGTGAGCACATGGTCCAAGAAGGTCCGAGGAGAAGTAACAAGATTCAGAAGGAAATGCTGGGTCAGAGATTCTCACTTCTCTCTGCTAGACATCAGCCCTGAAGCATGAGGTCCCAGAAGTGGCTTACAATCACAAGTAGAGAGACTGACTGGGAAGGGGATCCACCCCCTGGAAGAGCTGAGAGATGGAGCTGAGTGACATCGACTGGATGCTGGGTCGAGCAGCCCGTGCACCTTTCAGCTCATGTGATCCAACAAACTCCTCTTTTGCTTAAAACAGTTTACGGGTCTTCCCTGGTGGCGCAGTGGTTAGGAATCCACCTGCCAATGCAGGGGACACGGGTTCGAGCCCTGGTCCGGGAAGATCCCACATGCCGCGGAGCAACTAAGCCCGTGCACCACAACTACTGAGCCTGCTCTCTAGAGCCCACGAGCCACAACTACTGAGCCCGCATGCCACAACTACTGAAGCCCGCACGCCCAGAGCCCGTGCGCCGCAACAAGAGAAGCCACCGCAATGAGAAGCCCGCGCACCGCAACGAAGAGTAGCCCCCGCTTGCCGCAACTAGAGAAAGCCCACGCACAGCAACAGAGACCCAACGCAGCCAGAAACAATAAATAAATAAAATAAAATAATAAAATAAATTAAAAAGAAAATAAAAAAATACAGCTTACACTGGGGTTTCTGTCACTTACAACCCAATCAAAAGAATCCTGACTGGTATACACAGTACTTGTCTCATGGAGTTATGAGGCTGAAATGATATTCAGGGCCAAGACTAGGGCTAGGCAAGCAAGGAACCTGGGGTGCAAGATCTAAGAAGGTGTTCAGGTTCAGGGCCTGCCCCTTGCGGTGCCTGAATGAATCCCAGAGCGCACACCGATCTGAATGTTGTGTTCTCGGTGTCTGCTCGAGCCCTCGCCCCGCCTGGCGTGTGGTAGGTGATCAGCAGATGTCTGTTGCCTGACTCTGAATTTCAGACACAGCTACACTAGGGTGCTTTCGGCGTGGAGTCATCCGGCCCGCGCTCGGGCCGCCCAGTCGCCTGCTGGTCTCTTGCCCAATCTGGACGTTGCGTGTCTCCTATTCACTCTCCAAAGCCCGACTGGGGATTCTGCCCCCATGTGCGTTTATGCCCACAGGACTATCTTCGTAACGTCGAGCCGACCCCTGGGAGCTGGAGGCACCATCTTCTTCCTCCTCCCTCAACTACTTGCGCCTACTAACTAGCCTCAAAGCTGTCGACCTGGACTGGAGCCCGCGGGACCCATGCAGCTCCTGCAACCGTCCCCCTTCACACACCGCAACCGGCTCTGCACACAGGGTCCTTATACGTGTCCCTAAAAAAGAGCAGGTCCCCAGGAGCACACAGAACCGTTCCTGGAATTGTCAATATGAGATGTTTAAAAAAATATCGCTGTAAAGATTTAAAACCCCAGCCCTGTCTTCATGGAAAGACCCTGCAAGAGGGTCTTTCCAACAGAAGATCACCAAGGACCCGGGTCTGTAGCAAAACAGAGGCATGGATTCCTCGTGTCTGAATATCACCGAGGTTGGAATCTTGAGGGGCTGCTGGAAGCTCAGAGAACATGGCTGATTTTCTGTCTGATTGCTCTTCTCTGGGAAAATGTCACTGGTGCAAGCCCAGAACGAGAAGACACACACAGAATAAGTCACACACATCAAAAAAAACCCAAAAGACACTGAAAAGAAAGCAGCACGCTACTTCAGTGTTTCTCAACCACTGCTTTCCTCATCACCCCCTCAAGAGTCTTATTAGACATTTTTGTCCTAACACCCTGCCATTAAGCCACCAACACCCCGCCCATCCCGTGAGATTTTAGTGCCACAGAGATACAATAAATCTGCTTACGTACATAAAACATGCTCTATACAACTCTGCAGAGTCACAACCACTGTAATAGCTCAGACTCCTTGCCCCCAAAACCAATCTTCACCCCACAGAGGTGCTATCACCCCCACTGAAAATGCATGGGGTTCAGCCCCTGCCGTGGAAACCTAAGACTGGCTTGATGTCACCAGGGACCAAACCAGACCCAAAGACAGAAGGATGTGGTCCCCGGTGACACAGAGGCCAGCTCGCTCACAGAACGATGGGGCTTCCCAGGTGGACGACCTCTCTGCCCATGATTCCAGGGAGCTGAGATGCTCTGCGCCCACCCTTGCCAAGACCTCACAGCCCACGCTTCCCTCCGCAGGACTCCGTGCACTCATCACGTACGTAATTCCAGCAAGCAAGCTAGAAGTCATTTTTCTAGCAAAAATTAGGACTCCAATATTAGCCAACAATAAAATCACAACCCTGGGCATAAAACTCTAAAAATACAGCAACATTTGTCACACACCCCTCCTCCCCCTCCGTGTACGTTTTCTAATAGTTCATCCAGTCAGCTGTCCTCTCCCACTGGGAGGTAAGCTCCATCAGGGCCGCATTCTTACCCATTCTGTTCATTGCTCTCCCAGCTCCCAGAACCAGGCCTGACACATGGTACGTTTTCAATTAACATGTGTTGAATGAATGAATCTTCTCACAGGCAGACAATATGGAACATATTGGAAAAAATATAAAACACATGGAGAACCTTCTCTCAACAGACAGAATGCAAATCCAGAGTGGATTCCTGGATTCCACCCCGGGAACACGTGGATTCAGCCAGATGTAGTCTGGGAAACACCGCCTTTGAGGGCAGGAATTGATACCAGACTCACCAAATCACGGTAAGGCTGACGGTCTACACTGCATCCTCAGAAGCATTTTTAATCCAGAAACGTGCGATTTCCCAATATGGACGGGTTTACACGGATGCTCTCCAGTGACTCACTTCTCGTGCAGCCAGTGAGGCCCTGCCTCCTGGCTGGGTTCGCCCTGCGGAGAGGCCCCGCTGGGGGTCCAGGGTCGCCGGGCCAGGAGGAGCCCACCGCTTTCGACACGACCCACCCAAGTCGACAACGACGAGACACCAGAAGAACTAAGAAATTACTGTTTACTTTTGAGATGCGATAACGGCGGGAGTTTACTCTGTAGTTTTTAAAGAGTCTTTATCTTTTAAAAATAGAGACTAAATATTTACAGATGAAACTACATGATGTCAGAGATTGCCTCCAAATAACTGGTGAGGCCGGGTGTACAGAGGAAGCCCAAACGGCTGTGGATTGTCCTGGTCACACCCGGTGATGACCGTCGGCCATGGATTGTCCTGATCATAGCCCGGTGATGACCGTCTCTCTGTTTTTACAGATGTTCAAATTTTTTCATAATAAAAAGAGGGTTTTTTGTTTTGTTTTGTTTTTTTTACCACTTCATTTAATCTCTCTGGTACCTCCAGCTGTACTAAGAGTTTTGCTTTGGTTTCATAAATCTGACCCAGGTTTGATTTTTTTGTTTTTAACCTATTTTCTAGGGAGCAGTAACACTTGGAGGTTGGATTATCTGTCACTTTGGAGCCGATCATACCAGGGCTTGGGGGTCTTTTCGGGTTGGAAAACCAGCTCATTCTAGATGCAAGGAGGGAACGGGGCAAAGGAGACAGCCAAGGGGTGGGAGCTGCAGCATTATGGCCCGTTCCCTCCTCTGCACAGAGCCCTGCCCCACGCTGCCTCATCCAGGCCCCATGCCCTCTGCTTTGGGTGCGTTCAGCCAACGGGACTACCAGTAGGAAATCAGAGGCGTCAGAGAGGAGAGTGAGGCCCACACAGGGCTGTCCCCATGGGGCCACCCCAACTTGGCCCCAGCCCACCTAAGGGCCCAGTACCCGTCTGGTCCCCGCACGCACCCCTCCATCTTTGCACAGGGAACTGTGTTCTCCTGCCGCCTTCAGCCCAGGGCCGTAGCAGCACGCCCCATCTCCTTGTTCCGAGAACTTTCCTGTTACTGTACTCTATCCTTTTTAGTGGGGAGCCCACCCCGACCATGGCCTTGCAAACGGCCCCTCCATTTAACTTCCCCCAAGTTACCCATCTGGCCCCTATGGGGGACCCAACTGACAGCCCAAAGTCCAGCCCTGCAGCCTCACCTATTTCGGCACATTTGAGCCACGACCCCTCTGTGGGTCATCTCTGCCTTCAGTTAAGCCCAGAGAGGATGGAAGATTCCAGGATCTCGGGGGCAGATCTGGGAACTCTGAAATCTTCAAGCAAAACACCCAAGCGTGTGGAGAGATGAGCTCTGGTCCTCAAGCAAGAGAAGTTAGCACACATGGGGTAAGAAAAGGGGCCTCAGGAAGAGGCCACTCCGAGTACAAGGGGCCCACAGTTAAACCAAGTTGTATAGGGAAGTTAAAAAAAAATTTAACTGCAAATATTCCCTAGTAAATGAACTACTTTTCTAATGAGTTCCCACTCAAACATGGTGCCCTGCTCGCTCTGGGGTCTATCCTCATCCATCCCGTCAGAGCTGTGTCCTCGCTGACCATCGGGGAGCAGCAATGAGACACTGAAAACACCAAGCAAAGGAAACCTGAACCTCATGAATGATGCTGCCCCTGGTGACAGGGGTGAGAGCGCCGGAGGGACTTGGGAGAATTCTCGAGTGGACGTGAGGCCTCTGGCCAACGGACAACCAAAGAGAAGAGCGCCCACCAGGATGGTGGACGTGAGCTCCGTGGTACTCAGGTTGCTGAGGAGCCGAGTTCTCCGTGTCCAGAAGTAGTTCAGTGGGGTCTCTCAAGAGAGAACGGCAAGAACCGGAATTTCCCTAAACCGGGACCCTCCTCTCCAAACTTTGCATTGCAAGAGTCACGCCCACAGAACATTTGCTAGAAACAGTGCACCTAGATTCCCACCTCCTACCGTTCTGCCACATTTGCTTTAACTGGCATCTCACACTCCAGACACACACACACACACACACACACACACACACGCCTTGTTGCTGAACCATCGGAAAGTACATCACGACACTCCACCTCTACATTCTTTAACAGGGACCATCTAAAAATAAAGACCGCCTTCTACATAATCACCATCCCACCATCACGATCAGAAATCTGACATGGCTTCAATCATCACCTGGTGCCTGGTCCACCGTCCAATGTCCCCAGCGTCCCCACGGTCTCCTTCAGAGTGAGGCTTCTTTCCCGTCAAGGAAAGGACAGCATCCATTTAGTCACCGTATCCCCTCAGTCCCCTCTGATCCGGAACAGTCCCCGCTCTTGTTACTGCTTTTACTGCATGCATGTTTCACAGTCCAGACCAAAGTTTTGCAAAATGTCCCTTGACTTTCCTCGTGGGGAGCGTCGGACCGAGCATCTGGGGGCAGGATGACCCTTCCCACTGCTTCACATCAGGGGACGCAGGACGTCAGCCTGTCCCGATGTCGGTGACACCGAGCGTGACCCGTTGGCTGAAGTGGTGCTGACAGTGTCTCCGCTCTTGGGGATCTTCTCACGAGGTGATTAACGGGTCCCCTGAGGGGTGACGGGGAATAACCTTGGGCCCTCACAACCCTTCACCCGCTGGTGTCTGCCCCGAGGAGGTTTGCCCGATCGATGGCTACACCGAGGGCTGCCACATGGCGATCGTGACCCTGCCGGTCCTTCTGCCTGGATTGCTCAGCGTTACTCTACAAAGGAGAAGTGCAGACATTTAAGCCAAGTCAAGCCCCATAGAACGTGTCCTTCTGAAGCACGTGTGAGTCCATCACTGAGATGCTGAAACCCAGAGGCACGAGTCCCAGCCCTGCCCCTGCTGCTGCAGCCGTGGAGTGCCGTACCCTCTGGGTCCCGGGTCTGTCTGTGGGGGAGAAGCAGGTGACTCTGCTCCCTGCTCAGCTCCGACGGCTCTTTGGAAGGAAACGGCAGTCCCAGCTGCTGGCCTGGCAACTGAGAATCAGCAAGAACCCAACACTCCTTATCACTACGGGGCCAGGGGCCGCGGGCCACGGAGGAGCCCCCGAGTCCAGGCGCCTGCAGAGGCCAGCAAAGCCCCCACCCAGGACCTGTGGACGGTTAGGCGTTGCCTTGGGCAGCCAGCACATGGGCCCGAGTGGTCTACCCAGGGCGGAGGGGATGGAGAGCCCATCCTGCCCCGACCCCGTCCTCGTGCTTTAAACTCACGTGCTGACTCCACTACCCAGGGGGTTTAAAGGACATTATGATTCCGCCGCGTCCTTTCAGTCTCACGAAACACCGTGAATGTGTGTAGATGATGGCGCACAAAACTAAAGCGGAATGAAGTCAGCTGTGCGAGCGGGTGCGGACACTAGACGCTAACAGTGCCACTGTACAGATCTGCTTCTAATCCTGTGTGGAATTTGATAATCATCTTAGAGGCGGAGGATGGGAGAACATCCAACCACCTCATGAAGCGATAAGGGAAGTGCTTACGTATCATGTTCCAGGGCTTTACTTAAACCATTAACTCAGTGCTCACGGAGACCCGCAGAAATCGGGATGGCCGTCCTCCCTCTTAGAAAGGAGCATGAGAGCAAAGAGACCACCAGCTGGTGAGGGCAGCCGGCGGCAAGAAGAAAGCCAGGAGCCTGGCTCCCAAATCCAAGAGTGAACCACAGCACAACTGTTTAGTGTCACCTCTGTGCTGCCTTGTGCTACGGGAGCAAGCACAACAGGGACCACACTTGGAGAGCTTCTGGGGTGATTTTTTTTTTTTTTTTTTTTGAGGTTAATGTTGACAGTAAGACGTCTTTGCATCAAGTGTTGGCTTTAGAGCTAAAGGTTCAACACCTGAGAAATACACCGTCATCATTGCAAAATCATTCTGTTTCTGACTTGAGGAAAATGAGCACTTACAGTCCTTGCTGACAGAGTTCAGAGGTCAATGGTGTTAAGGCCAATGGGTAGAGGGCTGCGAGGAGGGGGATATTCTCTGCCTGTGCGGGTCTCCAAGCCCACGATTTGCAGGGGGTATAAGAGTTGATCACGGCGCCCCGGGTCCTGAGGCTCCCAGGAGTCCTGCTGGGTAACCCTGGGCAGTGAGGACGGTGGAGGGAAGGGAAGGCTGGAGCCCTTAGGACGGAGGGAACCACACCCAGCGGCCAAGCTTCAAGCTCACACTTCGACTCTCCACAGCAGCTCAAAGTCAGCCCCAGCCCCGTCCACTGCTGCCAGCGCTGATGTAACTGTCCACCGGGGCTGTGCAAACCACAGGCACTGCCTAGTCTTATAAATAAAGTTTTATCAGCACACACCACTCCATGTCTTTATGTATTGTCTGGGGCTGCCTTCCCACAGCTCTGCTGCAACAGAGACACTACGGCAGGTAAAGCCGAAAATATTAACCACCTGGCCCTTTATGCAAAAGCTTGCCAACACCCAGATAGAGCGATGGTTCCGGTCACATTAAATCAAAGTGCCTGCTGCCCTCTGCAACCCCTCGATCCTGCCTTCCTTCCCTTTCCTGAGGATGACGGGTACCGAGAATGTGGTACAGACGCCGTCCTCCCCACGCCCCTACCCTGGCCCGCGGCAGGGCTCGGCCATCCCCAGAAATACACGTTCATGGATTTCACTGAACAGTCCGTTTCAGTCGGAACCTCCAGCAGTGAGAGTTGTAAATAAGTATTGATAAATTGGGGCCAAGGATGGATCCACTATTCACTCATAATCTCAGGTTTGGGGAAATTTCCCCCAAATATTCAAGAAGGCCTGTTTCCGAGGAAAGCGTGTGGCATCTTCCCTTGTGACTTTCCTGAAGAATTCTGGAAAGCACACCCGGAGTGCCAGGTCCCCTTTCTGTAGTTATAAGGCTCCCCCAGGCAACCAGGCCCAGAACCGGGCTTTCTTCCAGGTCTGCAGCTAAACCACGACAGTTTGCTCCCTTCCCCTGCCCTCCTCCAGGGTTTTGTACAATGAGCTGGTCCCTCACATCAGGCAGGAGAGGAGCCTGTCTGAGAGACACATGATGTCAGGGCTCGGGTATCTGTATCATTAGAAGGTATTTATCATTTCTTGTTTACCTGTAGGCGGTAAAAACAGCTGCCTACTTTTCCATCACACACACCTCCAAACACCCGCAGCAGAGCCAGCGTCTGAAACCCGCCCCCGCAACGTCTTCCCATCAGCAGAGACAGCGAACTTGCAGGAACGCCAGTCCTCATACCATCAGCTTTCCCAGGCTCTGTCCCGGCGGGGGAGGGCAGCGGGGCCTCGGGGCCAGGGGTGGAGGCCCTGTGCGGCTCTGAGATGCACGGCTCTCTCTCCAGCACCTTTTCGGAGCCCCCGCCCTCCCCCGCTCTGGGCCCGGCACCGCGCCAGACGTGTGGGAACAGAGATGGACCAGCCCCTGCCTGCTGCCCTCAGCGGAGCCCCTGTCTGGGACGGATCTGTGCCCAACAAAACTGGCTTCACCTTCCAAACACTAACTGCAGAGAGGGGTCCCTTGGGCTCATACCTCGTTGGCCCTTTCTCGGCACCGGTCCTGGGCTCTGCCTCCCTGCCTGCTCCCAGGGACCCCATGAAAGGGAGGAGTGGACCCCGGCCCTAACCTCTCCTAAGGGAACCAGCCCCTCCCCGTGGTCGGAGTAGGGCTGACCCACCCTCCCAAGCCCCAGTGGGTCATGTGAGCAGACCTGGCCAACGAGAGTGCAGGGGCTGGGGGCCCGGATGGTCATGTGACCCAAGTGGGCCAATCACAGCCCTCTCTGGATTTTGAATGAAACTGACTTTTCATTGCTGAAAGAGACTTGCTTTCCTTCTTGAGATCTCAGGACCCCAACCCACGTGGGCCTGAAGCTACCCGGAGCCAGCCATGCCTCTGTGGACGGGCCTGCCTAGAAATGAGCTGACACAGAGGAGAGCAGAGGCAGGGGACATAGAGACCAGGTCAAAGAAGCATCCTCTGGGTCCCTGGATCCAGCCGTGCCTGAACCCGACTGACTCCTGCCCTTCTTAGTCACATGAGCCCTCAGTTCCCTGACCTTCTGCCTAAGCTGATATATCCAATACAGTCTTGACTGATATAGGCATGTGCTAATGGCTTCCCATTCTACAGAAGTGGAAACTGAGGCTGAGAGATCACTTGACTTGTCCAAGGTCACACAGTTCCAGGTGGAACCGATATGGCCACTCAGCCTATGCTCCTGACCACTGCACTGTCAGCCTACACCCCAGGGCTTGCTGAACCCCCACTGTAGGAGTCCCTGCATCTTCCTCCTTTGCCCTAACAGTGAAGCACCAGGAATTAGCGTCACAAGTTCTCTGATACAATACTGCATGTGTCAGTGATGGTGAGGAGGTGCGGGTGTCACAGCCGTCAGCCACCCAGCAAACAAGCACCCCCTTTCCCGCTCCGTGCTGTGTGGCCCCCAGAGACTCACTTGGTGCTGGCCGGCTGGATGCTGCTCAGGTAATAGTGCACCGAGCGGTAGAGAAGGCCCACGACGGTGGTCCAGGCTGGGGAAAGAGCAGATGGCCAGACACCTGTCAGCATCCCAGGTGACAAGCAGGACAGACACAGAGCTCCCCGCCAAACCCACTCGTCCAGCAACACACAGCACAGACCTCACACCCAGAAACCCGGCAGCTCCTCGGGGGACGAGGGGAGGGACACTCAGGGGCAGAACTGGCCACAAGGACAGAATTTGAGTAGAGACCCCCCTCCACTCTTCAACTGTGAATCCAACCGTGGCAATCGCTCCCTACGCTGCCCCGGGCAGTCAGCTCTGGACACATGGACGCTGCAGCTCCCGGGGAGCCAGACACCATGAGCTTCTGAAGGCAGAGCCCCCATCGAGCTGTGGACGGCAGCGCCAGGCGACAGTGCTGCAGTCGTGAGCGCATCTCAGTGGCTGTCTGCATCTGGAGTATTTACAGCAACGCCAGCGCTCGAGAGAGGCAGGATTTACAGTCACCCAGACGTCTGTCACGCCTTCGGCTGGGTCCCACCTCTCTGTGATATTCCAACTTGGAAACAAGAATCATCTATTCTGTTACCTCCGTGCACAAGCTTAACAGGAGGCCAGGAGGAGCAGCTGCAAGCTGACCTCCGAGCTCTTCGGGATGTTGGTTGAGTGCGTTAAGATTTCAGGGACGTAGTTAATAATTCACATAACACTTACCGTGTGCCAGGTACTGGTATAAGCTTTGCTCTTTTAATTCTCACCACAATATACTGCGGGAGGTACTAAGACTGTCCCCTATCACAGATGAGGAAACTGAGGCCGGGCAGGTTCAATAACTTGCCCAGTAAGTATGTGGCTGACCCAGGATTCAAGCCCAGGAGTTCCATCCACAGAGTCGGTGCTTGTGACGAATAAGCTCTACCGCCAAGTGTGAGAAGCTTCCGGACGTACAGACCGTGAGGCTGCGGTCCTGCCAACTCTGAGACACTGAGGATTTCTAACAGATCGTGCAGCCGTGTGAGATGAAAAGATCCCACGTGCAGTCGGTTGGCCTTGGCATTGTCCCTGGACCCCCCAATTTCTGTAGTTCACCCTGAGTGCGGGGGGACAGTCCCCTGAGAGCAGGACACCCCGACATCCCTGAGCACCTTTCACACAGGCAAACTAGAGGGTACAGGGAGCAGAGGTTGGCTCCCAAGGGCTGGGGAGTGAGGACCCCGTGCTGGGGACGGGACACCATGGCCCTGCACCCCGCAGCCCGGCCCCCAGTCCTTAAGGCAGAACCCGGGAAGCGCATGGCCTCCGGCCAGATTGTCAGGAACTGAGAATCCACGACTCCCCAGACCGCCCGAGGCCCCTGGGATGGAGGGACACGCCTACAGAGGCACAGTCACTTTTCAAGGGGCAGATGGGACAGTCATGGCAGCAAAAATGGACAGAGCCACCCGGGCCCCCGACGGTGCTCCAGGGCCAGAGAGAGTAATCGGGGTCCCCTCGGGGCTGGTTCCTCACGGGCCTTGACTTGGACCCACCCAGGAGGAGGACACCGGGCCCCCCAGCAGGGAGGGGAGGTGGCCACATCAGTTCACATTCCGCTCAGAATCGCCTAGCGAGCCCGTCTGGAATGCAGATTCCCAGCCCCTCCTCCCCCCTCCCAGTGCCGCAGGCTGCAGCAGACTCAGGGTCGAGTCGGCGCTGTGACAACATCTCAAGAGTGCCTGATGACACACTGTGTTCCCACAGGCACACAGAGGAGGCCCGGGGGCAGCCCCTCTGCCAGCTGACAGCCACAGGGCTGAGTCCCTCCCTGAGGGTGCTGGGGTGCAGGTCCCCCCAGCTGTGCTCACCTTGGCTGTGGAAAGCCTCATGGGGGATCTCGATGTAGTTCTGCCCCTGAGCCGGGAAGCGGTAGTGGGAGGAATTCATGGTCTTGGGGAGCAGTTTGGCCATGGAAAAGTCTAGAACAAGCCAGAGAGAGGAAGCTGCAGTCAGTCAACTCCAGGGCAGGCAACTGGGTTGTAAAACCCCACCTTCTGTTGTTTTGTTTTGTTTTTTAACAGAACGAACTCTCTTGGGGAGTGTAATTACCTTTAGGAAACGAGAACCTAAAAAATAAGAGTGTCCAGGGCAGTAATTGCGGCCATGTGGCCGACCCATCCATCTACCACTGCTGGTGGGGGGTTCTCCCAGCCTGCGGTGACCCCTGTGCCCTCAGCGCAGCCCCTCAGCTCACGATGCCTCGGGTACTGACTGCGTCCCGTCCTGCAGGGAGACGCCTGTGCTGAGGGGCCCCTCCTCCACACCAGGGACCCCGCGAGACGCAGGAAAATGACACACTAATCTAAGTGAGGCAAACTCATCATCCCATGGAGGGATCTGTCTTGGCCGACAAACTCCCATTAAAATGAACCCAAGTGGGCGAATTAAGCTTACTTTCCAGAGAGTGGCTCTGGCGGTAAAGTATTAGGGTACCACGCTCCCTAGACACAGACCCTGAAAACAGAAGGGCTGCGACGTCGGCCTGTAGGGGACCCCGTGCCTGTTGTCTTGGAAGAGCCTCCAGCTGACCCCAGGAAACCTGCTACCCCACGGACACTCCAGGGGCTGCCGCTGCTCGCCTCCTGTTCTGAACTGAGACAGTCGTCACCCGAGATGAATCTGGCCCCCAAGTCAGCATGCAAGGCTCCTGTGGTCCTGTGTGCACATCCCAGCTGAGCACGGCTGCCCCGACCTAACTCTGTCTTCCCCCAACATATCATGGTGCATCAGGCAGGTAGTTTAGGACAGCGGAGAGGTGCATCTCCAGTGATGGTGTGTGAGGTTTGTGCGTCCCTGGGTGCATGCAAGAAAACGCAGGAGTGGAGTGGAATTCAACAGGTGGGTGGCATCCCCTGCACCCCGCTCCCCTCCCGCCGCACAGCCGGTCCCCGCCCGCACCCACGCTGCCGAGCTACCTGCCACGGATGAGGAACCCGTGATGGCAACCTGGGGCTCGCTGGCCTGCAGGTTGAAGGATATGTGGCCCATGACGGTGTCCACGGTGTCGATCAAGCCCAGCACCACGGCACCGTCCTGCAAACAGCACGACACGAAGGAAGGAGACGTCAATACGGGGCTCGCTCAGCACGTGCACCCGACGGAGGCAGCAAATGCACCAACGCGCAAGATCAAGTTCATGCTCACTGTCAACATTCCTGCAAAGGAGGACGCCCAGCATCTGCTGAGCAACATGGCGGGCCAGGCTCTGCCCTCACGATGACCAGACAGAGAGGAGAGACAGTCACGCCGCTACCCCGTTTCACAGGCACGGAGGGGACCACTGAGGTCACCCAGCCCAGCCGAGCTCGCAGCATGTGGACACCGGCTGAGGTTGACCCCGGTCACCCAGACGGTCAGCTCCAAGGCTTCCACGCTCAAACACAGACTGACCAGACCTGGTCCCCGCTCCACTCTGAACTCACTGGGGACCTTGACAGGTCTCTGACCGGCCCCCCCAACTCCATCCCCTTCTGTTTCACGAGGAGGGGGGTCACTGCTCCCAAGTACCCTCCAGGATGAAGACACCAGCACTTGTGTCCTAGTCTCTGTGAAGGGGAGGAGGCTTCGGACGTGCCAGCACCTCAAGCCGGCCCTGGCCTCCCCGACGTGCCTGGGGTGTCCCTTCCCCTCCAAGGGCCTCTCTCTCCACTCTGAGTCCCCAGGGCAGAGATGACCCCAGTGGATCCCCAAGAAGGCAGGGGTCCCTCGTGGTGGCCCCGTATCTCTGCAGCCAGCTCGGATCAGACTGACTCTCCCTCATCCTCAGACACACGTCTAGCAGGGCAGGGGCGTCTCAGTTCCCTGGGAACGCGGTGTGTGACTCTCTGCCATCACACCCCTTCTCTCCTTCCCGCCTTTCTGAAAAAGCATCCGTCTGTTGCTAAGCGTCCCAGGCGTTCTCTCAAAAACACATGCTCCATGAGAGTCTAACGAGCTGGAAATAGAACACTGAGGCCAATTTTAGACATTTTCTTTCAGGCCTGTGGCCTGATTTCAATCGGCCAAGCGCAGTTAAGCACATGAAAATCTGTGTTTCTGGCAGGCAGAGCTGTTGGGTAGTGGCTGATTCATACCTTCCCTTTAATGCACAGTAGAGCCGGCCTGAGTCTGAATAGTTTCATGATTATTCATAGTTTGTGGCAGAGCATTAAGAAAAGGCTCATTTAAGATGATGCAGAAAATACATCTGCTCAGGCCCTCCACTGGCCATCCTCTGGGTGTTTCCCAGGCAGCAGCCCTGCGCACATCGTCCCCCCGGAAATCATGAACTCTGGAGTGCTGTGCCTTTTAAAACAGAATGTGTTTCTAGGTAAGATTATGTCAGTCTTAAGTTCATGGCCGTCTTTCTCTCCCTTTGCCAATGGGAAGCCCGATCTCGTTCCATCTGAAACTGTTCAAATAAAAAGTTCATCAAATGTAAACCCTGGAGCCACCTCATTCATAACGAGAGAAGGTGATGTCGTTCTGCTTCAAACTGGCAAACATGTTTTAAACTTTACAGGAGTTCAGGAGAGGGAGCGCTTTAAGTAACAGTGTGGTCCCAGCCCTTCCAGGCAAGGCAGTTAGGAGTCTTCCTCTCCCTTCTCCACCCCTGCCGGGCAACCTGGAGGTCACATTTTTCAGACAGCAGCATCAGAAAATGGACAGAGCCAGGATCCCCAGGTCACTGGGTGGAGAAGAGCTGACCCACGTCAGACTTGACATGAGTGAGAAGTAAATGTCCACCGTGCTGAGCCGCTGAGATGTAGGGCCTATTTGTTACTGCAGCCTAGCCTAGCCTAGCCTGACTGATAGAGCATCGCAGGAGATACTTAGTATCACTGGGAAATGTCCTTGCCATAATTAAAGAAAAACAGATAAATTCAGATATATAGCACATGTGTAGACTATATATGCATATAAGAGAATTGAAAACTAGATTTGAAGGGATATATACAAGAGTGTTAATAATCATTCTCTCTCAGCCTGAGGATTTCAGGTGATTTTTATTTTATATATATTTTTATGATCTGCATTTTCTAACTTTTCCACAACATATTCACATGTTTTATTTCTTAAATAAGTAAAATCAAGAAAGTTACTTTCAAAAAGAAAAGAAAAGGTATTCCACTCTCCTAGTTCTTTAGTGTACAGAGGAAAGGAGAGGCTGCTTTGATATTTACTCTTATAATCATGAAGTGTATATTGTCACATGTTCTACTTTTTTCATTTAATCTAGTGATCTTTAAACATCAAACGTGTTTTATTATCATTCAAGAACAGTGGGATGGTAAAAAATGGGTTTTTAAAATGATAAACAAGCATACATTCCTCATGCAGAAATCCAACTGTTTTCCTGTTCAGTGTCGACAACAGGACCATGGTACTGATGCTCATAGAACTGATCCATAGAGAAGACAGAGCATTGCAAATCAGTCGTATATCCAGTCAGAATTAGCTCTAATATCCCAGAGATGCGTCATTTCTCTTACAGATGTGAATTGGGTCATACTTATGCCACTTCCCGAAAGACAAAATGGTGCCCCTTTTGAAGATCTCAATGTTCTTTTCTCTTACCTCTGACACAGCAGTCCAACTGGGCAAAAAGAGAACCTCTCCCACGGTCTTTAAGAAAGTCTAAAGGAAGACAAGATGACACTGCTTAGCATGTATCCTTACGCCTCAAAATTATAAGACCTTTGATTTTCCCATCTCTGTCAACCACGGGCTGGGTTTTTCATGTACACAGTAGTAAACCAAAATACCTCCCGTTAGTGGATCTGGTTATGTTGTACAAAGCCCTTTTATAGATGTTATAGATGTTATCTTATTTGCTCCTGTTGACAGTCCTTTAGTCAGTGACAAACATTTAGATGTTAGATGTGTGTTCACAGCTTAGTTACAGCAGCAGCCCTAAGTACAGTACCTGGAAGATATAACCGGCCCTCGGTAAAAGCCTGTTGAACAAACGAATGAATGAATGAACAAAGCATGGCCTGCTCCGTGTGTCTTTCTTGGCATGAGAAGCCAAGCTGACATAAAAACCCACTTGTTTAATTGGAAATGACCCCTCCATAAGCAGAAGTTACTCGGGGTCCCTTGGACAAATCACCTTAAAACCATGTTTGGTTTGGCTCACTATTGTTCTAAAAAAATGAAAGTAGCTTGTAACATCTTCAAATCGGGAGATTTAAATGAAACTATGTGAATTTCCTCCTTCTTGTGAAAAAAGCAGAAGCTTGGACAATTCTTATCCCATAGTCCCACATGGCCACCATCGACCAAAACTGAACAGCAGCTGACCCCTTAGGTAGTTGTGCATTCTCCAGCTCACCCCAGTCCTCACCACTCCCTATTGCCTTCCACCTAATCTGTTTCACTCATTTACATTACTCATGTAGGTTTTTAACAGTGCGTCTCCTACTACAGACACCAGAAGCAAACTTAGAGCCTGATCTAAACCTCCTATATTTCCACAAAACTGCCTTCTCCAAAATGCCACATCCGTCCTCACACTTTTAGACGCTAAATATTTAGAGAACACATCATCAAAACTCCTCACTCTTTCATTTATCTTTATTTGATAAATACTTATAAGACCCTAAAGTGCAATGCCTTAAAATTTAAAGATGAAATTTAAAAACTAAACATGAAAAAAACAATCATGATCCCTGCCCTCGTTGGGCTTGAGGCCTAGGGGGCAGAGTTTATAATCTAGAGCAGGGGTCAGCACTTTTCTTTAAGAGGATCACCTAGTAAAACTTTAAGGCTTTACACACCATACAGTTCTGTCACAGACACTCAGTTCTGCCACTGTAGTGCAAAATTAGTGACAGACAATCCATAACTAAATGAGTGTGTTACAATAAAACTTTATTTACAAAAACAGGCAGTGGGCTAGATTTGGCCCAAGGGCTATAGTTTGCTGAGTCCTGATCTATAGCAGTTCAGCTGAATAGAAATATAATGCAATCCACAGTTTTATTTTAAATTTTCTAATAGCCATATTTTAAAAAGTGAAAAGAAAACAGGTGAAATTACTTTTTAATAATACATTTGACTTTGCCCAATATATCTAAAATATCACTTCAACATGCAATCAATATAAAAATCATCAATTTGATAATTAACATTCTTCTGTTATACTAAATTTTAGAGATCCAGTGTGTATTTTAGACCTTGATTTGAACTGATCACAGTTCAACTGCTCAAGAGCCATGTGTGGCTAATGGTCTCCTTATTACCCAGCACAAGAACTGACTTCTTATTGCTTTCCTGTTCAACTGCTAGTGGTGAGAAGCCAGGGCATTATGGAAAATTGGACACGGATGCCAAAGATTTTTATTTCTCATCCAATCAGAGATGGGTGGAGTCTGGGGTAAATCTCCAGGATTCCTCTCCAGGACACACAGAGTCAGTTATCTCAACACGGGCCCCCATCAGAGGTCTCAAGCTGATGGCCCACAGGCTGAATCTGCCTCATGAATGTCTTTTATTTGGTTTGTACACAATTGCTTTTAAATTTCAGTTAGCTGTCCACTTTTTTTTTTAATTGGATGATTTTCCACTTCAAAATCAGGTACGGAGTTTTGCTTGCAAAATCAGAAAGGGTTACCCTCAAGGTTAAAGTCAGGGGACTCGAGCAGCTCGATGCCACTCCCTGTGGGTGGGCACCTTCCAGTTTGCCATGGTCTCTACTCCTCCCTATTGTCTATCTGACCCAATCATCCATTTACTTTATTTGTCTGGCCCCTGCATGCATTTGAGTTTGGGACCTCTGACAGTGTCCAGTATATCTGAGGGGAAAAGGGGAGTCGAACGGAAAGAGGAAACCACCAAGCTTCAAAAGAAACTGTTTCCTATGTAGACCTGCCTTGAATTCTATGTTCCCACGTAGACATCTCTTCAAGACTATGGAGGGGCCGGACCCTCCCGTTCACCCCTCCGGGCAGTCTGCTCCCTCTGGGAATCCTCACACCCACCCTCAGAGGTCACGTGCAGAGCCCACGTGCAGAGCCCGGAAGTGCTTCCTGTGGGGAGCCCGGAAGTGCTCAGAGTGCTGCCTTGGCCCCGCCCATACTGCCATATGATTGGCTGAGCTACCAAGCCAGGCCTGCTCCCCTTGGCTAGTGATTGGTCTAGGTGCAGTCATGTGATGGATCTTTGCAGGGGGAACCATGGGAAAGAATTTCGTCCCCTATAAAGCAGGAGGAGCCCCGTGACCTTGCTTTCCCTCCTGGTGGTTGTTAGTGAGGTGTGGTGTTTGGAACCGTTCCAGCCCCTTGGAAATAGAGCAGAACGCCAAGAGAATTGTCCTGCTGCTACCCAAATCCCTGCTGTGAATGAAGACTGAAGTAGTCAAACCTGGAGTGAAGCAATTAGATGCCCCTATTGTTTTTTGATTTTTGTTTTTTTTTTTTTTGCGGTACGCGGGCCTCTCACTGTTGTGGCCTCTCCCGTTGCGGAGCAAAGGCTCCGGACGCGCAGGCTCAGCGGCCATGGCTCACGGGCCCAGCCGCTCCGCGGCATGTGGGATCTTCCCAGACCGGGGCACGAACCCGTGTCCCCTGCATCGTCAGGCGGACTCTCAACCACTGCGCCACCAGGGAAGCCGACCCCTATTGTTTTTAAAATAGTAATATGACTGTTTATTTGCAGCCAGAACCGTTCTAGGAGAGAGACTTGGGTCATCAAATTATCCCCATAACACAGACTGGGAAACTGAGGCTTGAAGAAGTTAAAAAGTTGCCCAAGGACATAGAGCTGGGGGTCAAGCCCAGGCTTGCCTGACTCCAGTGTCACTGAGCTCCTGCAGCTCGGGACATCCCCTCACAGCACTTTTCAGACTCCATGGTGCATCTTCACCCTCTCAGCCCTGAGCCTCTCGGAAGCAGGAAGTGGTTCTTGGTCGTCCCAGATCCTCAGAACCTAGCATGTTCTATGAATGAATGAACGAAATCTGAGACGTCTAACTCTTGCTTCTGTCGCCTGGGCAGGAAGGCTATGGCGTTCAGGACCCACCCTGCGTTTCAGGATGTCTTTGTTTACAGAACACGTGCTTTCAGGTACTTCTCTGGATCTGTCTTCAGCAAGGAAACCAGTAAGAATTAAGAACTCTTAAAAAGCACTCGCCAAGTGCCAGACACACACTATGCACATAGGAACCCTTTTAGTCCCCAGTGAGGTGAGTACTATTATCTCCCCATATCTCAGCCGAGCAAAGTGAGGCAGAGATATGTTACATAACGCGACCAAGAGTGCACCGTAAGTAACCGGCAGAGACGTTCAACCCAGCAGTCAGACCGTACATCCTGCTCTTAACACTTATGCTGCACTTTTGAAGTGAAACGGTCTCAAGTATCCCTTCTGTCTGCACAGCAACCAGGAGCCCTGTGCTGAGATCGAAGTTATCAAGCCCCCAAGAGCCCAGCATCCTCCTCTACCTTGACCTAGAAAGATTTTGAGAATGAAAAGAGAAAACACCTTGGTTCCAATGCCATACGTGGTTCATTCCCTAAGTGCTTTACGTAACTTTGGGAATTCCCACTGAGATACAAGTCACGGTGTTGGGGTTACACTATGGCCCCACGGCTAAACCTGCCAAAGACCCAACTCCACCTTCTACCTGCTGCGAAGGGAGGTGGCAGAGTTTAGAACAGGAGTTGCAAACCCAAATGCCTACAGGGGCCAGGTGGATGGAGAGAGGGGCCAGGCTGGCTGGGCACTGGGAAAACAAGATGAAGAGTCGAGTCTCATCTGCAGGAGACTCCACTGAGCTGTGCAGAGCTGGCTGGAGTAGCCACGCCGTCTGGTTGAAATCCAGACTTTTATAGTAAAGTTTCTGATTTTTTCAGCGCTGCATAGGTCAAACAAGGCACAGCTGTGGGCCGTGGTCTGGCCCACAAAATCAAATAGCTTTACCTTGGTGAGATTTAATGCTGTTTCCTCTGAGAGGGATTTATTGGGTAAGCTGAGGGACATATTTTGAAGGTAATTCAGAACAATTCCAGGACTCTGGAAGTTTCTTCTCTCCTCTGTCAAGTTGGTTATGATGGGATGGTAGACATCAATGGGCACCTAAAAGAAGTCAGCGACGTGAGTTCCTTTAAGAACTAAAGCCAAGATTTGTACAGAAGTTCAGCGTGTCCTCCGGGCCTCATGCTTCTCACACCATAGTAATCATGGTAATAGCACCTACTTTATACCAGGCAGGCACTCCTGTGACTACTTCACGAATAGCATTAACATTTCATCCTTTCAGCAGCCTCATGAAATACGCACGCATTTGATAGATGATACTAAGCGCGGAGAGGCTTACGCAGAAATAAGTACGAGAACTGGGATTTGAACCCAAGCACATGGTTCTAGAGTCTGTTTACTCGCTATTACATTAAAGTTCCCACGGAAGGAAAGTTGATTGATCACAAATTAATTCCAGAGGGGAACACTTTCTAAACGTATTGATCCTTTCCTCAAACATCAGAAGAAAATGGCACAGAGAGAAGCCAGGTGTCAAGGCCGGCTCCTCTCTGTTCTCAGCTCATGGTGCCAAGTGCACCAGAAAACAGTCCCGGGTCGGTGGGGGGGGGGTCCCTGGGAAGTCTTGGTGACTCCGTGTAGGCACCGGAGGCTACAGGCCACACAGGAAGCAGGTCTTCCATTTAGTCACTCCGAGCGTTGAGATTTAGTGCCAGTGTTGGCTTCCCCTACATTTATTATTTCCTCCCAGACATTCATTCTACTGCCAGTAAGACAGGACCAGACTGTGAAATGGAATTCCCACTCTCCTGGCATATAGTCCAAGCAAAAAGACATCACCAAGATGGGGAGGTGGGGACAACATTAAATGCATCTGCTCACCATGGTGTTTGCTGTGGCTGTCGTGAGGAAGCTGGGTGGCGTTGAGGACAACAAAACATGCTTTCCTGGAAAAAAATCAATCATGCTTCATTAAGGGCTAAGCCATGGTCACCTTGTTCACCCTCAGGAAGGTCTGTCCTTATTCAAAACTCTCCCAGCTTCAGAGACAAACTAAGAAGAGTCTGAGAATGTTTTGAGTAGCAGTGTCGCTGGAAAGATAAAGGCCTAATAAATCAGCCAAATGGGTAGATTGTATGGATTTTCCCAGGTCAAATTATTTTTCCATTTATAGTAAAAATTGCTTGGGAATAGTCTTTAGGCAAGTCATCATATAAAAAGATGACTTTATACATGCTTTTACTGATTTCAAATACATAAAGAAGCAAAAGAAATGGATTTCCATTGCATCTGGACTACTTAGAGATAAAACACAGAGGGTTGTGAATCACTGGGCTGGGACAAACAGGAGGCCTCACCACCTCCCCTCCCAGTGAGGTGACACTGGCGTGGACCCCATCAATGGTGGGGAGACCATCTTCCTGAGCCCCTCCCATCCCGAGGATTCTATTCAAGACCCCTTTTGGTCCATTATGAATGATTATAATAATGAAGACATCCAATTCCTTCTAATTTTAGTATTCCCCAATGAAAACACAGACTTAACTAGATACTCTACTTCATTTCTGGAAATCCCTCAAGTTGCTTTGGGTGGCCTGAGGGAATAACCTCATCACCCATCCCTGGTTCCAGGAGTAAATGACCCCGTGGGTGGAGGTGGGTAGCTGGTGAGAGGGTAAGGTGTGACCCTGCTCTGGGGATCAGAGCCCCAAACACTCTGTTCTCCAAGTCGGAGTGACATCCATTCCTTGGATGTCAAGGAGTCCCATCAAATTCACATTTAACTCATGTGAGTCCGTAAGAGAAAGTGAAGGACAATAAAACTCAGCCCAGCGGCCCTGTCCATCCTCATAACTGATGACCACGTGAGACCAGGATGAGAAACGAGAGTCGGCCGCGTCCTAAGTCAGTCTCGGTTCCCAACTGGCTCTTGTTACAAGAGCATCTGACTGTGCAGAGTGTGTTTCTAGTGTCAAAGAAACACACTTTCAAACCGTGGGACTCTGAACAAAGCCTTCTGCTTCCTTGGCTTCTCTACAGAAGGAACGGCCAACCATCGCGGGGCTGGGGGGACACCTGAGCAGGGGCAGAGCTGATCAACACTCTACCTTTGTGTGAATTAGAAAAGAAGAGGCCACCTCAGCTGGACCGACCCATCAGAAAATGGCACTGCTCTAGCTAACAGGTTAGAAGAGGGGCCCCCTCCAGACAGGTCACCCAGGGAAACGCCCCCTTTGGGTACCTGCAGCCCTAGCTCACAGCTTCCTGTGCAGACAGATCTTTATGCAAAGGAAGGCAGAGTCCAAAACAGAGATTCCTAGTGACGTCATATGAGACACGAAAGGTCACATATGGTTCCATTTATATGGGATGTCCAGAATAGGTAAATCCATAGAGACAGAAAGTAGATCAGTGGCTGCCGGGAGCTGGGGAAGGAGGACAGGGGGACTGACTGCTCACTGGTGCTGGGTTCCTTTGGGGGTGATGGTTGCACAACATGTGGACATAGTAAGTACCACTGAACTGTACACTGTAAAATGGTGACATTCACGTTTTATGAATTTTACTTCCGTTTTTTAAATGAGTGACTTTCCAAGTCCCACAGTTCATTGTGGTTGACTGAGGACCTGGACCCAGGTCCAGCTGTCCCCCGGGTTCCTGATCTGTACCACCGCTCTGTGCTAAGCAGGAAGGGGGCGTCCTGGGGGCGCTCCGAGGGCCCGTGGTGGGTGAGTCTGGCACGCGGGAGGCACGTGGTAGACATTTGTGGATCAAATGCACTAATGGACCTGGAACACTTGATTCCCAAAGCTTTCCATAAGCATGTGTCACAAACACCTGGAAAACTCCCTGGTGACGGCAGGAGGATATTCATCTCAGCGTGCTTCTGGTAAATTGTGGATTCCTCCATCTCAGAGAGCAGGGGCTCTAGAAGACCCACCGTATTTGTGAGGCCGATCAGGACACATCTCAGCCTGCAATGCTGACGGCCGCGTCAGGAGAGGGAGGAGAAGAAAAATGCTGGGAAGGGGAGGTGGCTACGAAGCCCGCCCCCTCCCCAGGAGCTGACGTCACAGCCGGCCCGCAGCCCCTCCCCTCTCACTGACCAATGGCAGCTGTGAAGTACATGGCGATCTCGTCCGGCGTCAGGGCCCGTTCCCAGATGATGAACTCGTCAAAAGCGCCGTTCTCGTAGCGCTTGGGCTGGCGCTCGTCCGACCCTATCACGAGGTTGACATTGGGCTCCCCGTAGGCATGAGACACTTTTCCACTTGGGTCTGAGGTGGTCAGCGTCCCGTTGACGTAGACTTTGAGGCCCTCCTTGGACTTCCATGTAAATAGGACATGAGTCCAGTAGGGGCCTGGGAAAGAGCAGAGACACCCTTCTCGCGATGTGGGTCGAGCTCTCCATGCAGTGGTCATTCTAGTTTTAAGCACATTTCTCTTTCTTATAATGATGGCTCAGTGCTACCGTTGGCTGAGTCCTCATATAGGTCATAATCCACATCTCACTTCCCTCAGTCCTTAGGGGCACAGCAAAGAAGTTACCCGCCCCAAACCCCAGACGCCGTTCAAAGAGACCCTTGCCATTTTAAATTAAATGAAGTAATAACTAACGGTCATAACTTGTTCAAAAATATTTTGTTAATCCAGCCTAGGCCAGCACAGGGCAGGTCAATGAGACCTATCTGAGGACCTGATTCAGCCCAAAGGCCACTGATACCCACCTCTGCCCTGACCTCAAGCAGGTGATAGCAACCAATATGGCAGCACCGAGGGAGAACAGACCACTCCTGGCTCCGTCAGGATCCTCTGTCAGGAGCCTTGGTGATGACTCTCTCTCTGTCATGAGAACCACGTTCACCAACAGGAAGAAAGTTCACTGGACTTTGATGGCAGCTTGCCCCACAAAGGGCCACACCTCGTTGTGCAGGTGTGTGCTCAGACGCCCTCAGGGACTTGCTGCTGGGAGACGCCCCTTATAGGAAGCCTATGATCCGAGCCAGGCCGTCATCTTAAATCACCCAGCAGTTACCCCGGGGTTCTCGCTCGGGACTGTGCGACTTTCTAACCGCGAGTCTCCAGAGAGCGCTTGGATCCGAGACAGGGCCAAAGTATCACTGCCCTGGAGTGTGAAAATCCCTTCAATGAACAAATAAAGAGCACACTGCCAGGCAGAAATGTTTACACGTCTCCCCATTCCTCTGGGTGGGGAAACAGTCAGGATTCAGCAGATCTGACCTTAAAACATGTTCAAGATAAACGACTGAGTGCCTGATGCTGTGTCAGCCCCAAGGGGCACGGAGATCAGACTCTTACGGAAGAGACTGATAGCAGGTGGAAGGTGATAAGAGCCATGAACAGGGGCAGGACAGGCAGGTCTGAACAGGTAGAGGACGCAGAGACAAGCTCTGGCCTCGGGGATCGGAGAGGGCAAACACGCAAGATTCTCTCAAACTCCGTGTGCACCGAATTTGCCCCTTTTCCGGGGGTGGAGGTACGAGCTTGGTCCCAGCTCACAGCAGCGGTAGAATCAAGCAAATGTGTCCGGTGCTCACGGGGCCCCTCTCCTGTGGGCTCCTTGTGTGTTAGCTCATTCCGCTCTCACAGTCACCCTATGACCCAATACTGTTGTGCTCACGTTACAGACGAGCGCACTGAGGCACAGAGCAGGCGAGTAAGGCGCCCGGGTGCGCACAGCTAGCAGAGGGGTGCAGGGCGGGATTGACCCAGGCTGCGTGGCTCCAGGGTCCATGGTTTTTTAACAACTGAGACACGCAGCCTCCTTTAGATGGTCCGAAAATGAATTCTCCTTGCCTGTGTCAGAGATGTCATTTCCTCCTGAAGGAGATCGTTCTAGACTCTCACTTTGCCCTCCACCTCCGCGATTCCCTTCTTAGTCTCCAGTCTGGACTGGGCAGCCCGTCCACGCTACCTCGAGACATTCTGAGTCCCCCATCACCTCTCCCCATCTCAGTTCCCACTCCAGACCTCCGGCCTCCCCCAGCTTCCTGGCCCACACCTCTGACCTCATGCCCGGCCAGCGACGGATCACACTGAGCCCCGGAGGAAACAGGAATCGTCAGAGAGGACCGGACCACGTGGCCTCCCAACACCCACCTACGCACTCAGCCACATCTGCACACACCCAGTCCCCACGCTGGTCCAGACCATCCCTCCTGAATCCCAGGCCCTCGCTGGCCTGGTGCCCACACGCCTCCCCTCCGCCAGCTTTCTTTCCCCTAATCGTCAGCCCCTCTTTTCCAAACCCTTTTTCACGGCGAAGTCTAAACATCGCAAGTCTACAGCACTAAAAAGAAGGAGGGGTAGAAGGAGGAAGGGGAAGGACAGGAAAAGAAGGAGAAACAATAACCACTGTGCTGAGCACTCCGCATGCAATATTCCATTTAATTTCCCCCAAGCTGTGAGGTAAGTATCATTAATGCCTTCACTAGGGAAACTGAGGCTCGGGGCACTAAGTAACATGGTGCGGTGACCCAGTCATCCCGTGGTCAGGCGAAGCACAGGCGTCCGCCCGAAGGACCCCGCCCCTCATCCGCCGTGCAGACATCTCCGCAGAGGATGTCATCTCACCCTTTCCAGCAAGTCCTCCCAAGCAGCCCCTGAGAGGACGGGGCCCAACCGCCCGCAGGCCAGGGGACCGACAGCGGAGCGTCTGGCCTCCATACGCCTCCCTGAGCATCCCTCCGGGCCAGCGGCGCCCTTACCTGGGGGGCTGAAGGTGGCCTCCCACGTCATGGAGTTCTCACGCGTGTACAGCTCCACGAAGCCCTTGCCACCGCTGGAGCAGACTTTGAACCCGTTGGAAATGACCTGTCCCCCGAACGCGAAAGGGGTTGTTCTGGAATGTTCTGCTTGCGTCTTCCAGAAAAAAGAGAACGTGACCCCTGAGGACAGAAAAGGCGTGGGGTTATTTTTAATGAAAAACGGACAGGACTTAACCTCACTGAAGCAGGTCGTTCTCGCTGCTCTTTGTTTTTCATTTAAAAGGCAGTTTTCTTTTTTCTCATTCCAGAGAGAGTGTATGCTCAATTCAGAAAATACAAACCATAAAAACAGGTAGCTCACTAAGTACCAGACACTTTACTAAGGGTTTTAAATGAATTCTCTCCTCATAAATACTACAAAACCTGATTATCGTTCATCGGCTTACCCCGTTAGGCAGATGAAGAAACTTGAGTCCGGTTTGCCCAAGGTCCCTGAACTAGAGACTGACACAGATTAGACCCAAACTCAGTCTGACCTACAGACGTCGGCAGTTAAGGTAGCTCCTCCCAAAGCCTCTCCATAAACATATTTTACAGAGAAAGGAACCAACTCATACATACCGGTTTATAAGCCACATGTTTTGAAAACTTACTACATCATAGACCCCCTCCAATGTCCATAAATACACCTCTATGTCATCATTGTTTGTATCTGCACCTCATGACGTTCTAAACAGGAACTCTAGGGAATTCCCTGGCGGTCCAGTGGTTAGGACTCTGTGCACTCACCACCGAGGGCACGGGTTCAATCCCTGGTCGGGGAACTAAGATCCCGAAAGCCACATGGCGTGGCCAAAAAATAAAATAAACAGGAACTGTAATTTTTTTTAAAGAAAAAAAAAACCAGCAAACCCCTTCCCCCATGGCTGTGTCTTAAAGTTTCCTTCGACTTTTAATTTCCCAAACAGAACTAGAAGCTAAACCTTTCTGCACGTCTCAGATTAGATGCCTTTAGGATAAATTCCCAGTAGGGCATTTCTAGTCAAAGAGGAAGCCACTTTGAAAGGTTTTGAAACCTACAACTGTTCATTCCCATCAAAGTGGGGCACACGAAGGCCCTGGCAGCCGAGACGGCCAGTCCGCAGACTCCTAAGTCCTGAGCCCGGTCCCCAGGCTCCACATGGACTAAATGGTATGAACAAGCTGGCCCATTGGTGGGTGTGTCTCCATCACTGGAAGCAGGGGGAGTGTAAGGAACAAGGCCAGCCCTTGATGGTGAAGACCCTGACCCACGATCACTGTGCTATCCAGGGGCAGGCTCCGGGGCGAGGGGCGACAGTGGCCACTCCTGGCCGGAGGCTCCTGGAATTGCCCTTTGGATCCCTGATTACCTCCACTCTGCTTCTCTGAATCCAGTAACATTTACCCTTTCTTTGCCCATAAGTAAACAGTGTGTGTGTGTGTGTGTGTGTGTGTGTGTGTGTGTGTGAGAATGCGTGCAGCCTGCCTGGACTCGGTGGTGAAAGCCAGAAATAACTCAGGCGGCCTCAGCCCTCCCAAGCTGGCCCAGGCTCTGTGGTGGGAAGGCTTCATTGATGCTGAGAGAGGAGGTGCCCAGACTTGATCAAAACAGGCCCAGGATGGGGCTGGTAGGGGAGCGGGGGCGGCCATTTGCCCTGGGCCTTATTTATATAAATGGCACCAATTTTAGACTTTGTATCTTATCTTCAAGTGAGATTATGGGCACAGTCCAAGAGAGTCTGAATTACAAGAAGACATTTGTCATCAAGCATCAAGCTTCTGTCGCATCACCACCCATCCTGGCTGTAATGCTTTATGGATCAACATATTTGTCACAAGTTGTTCAAATGTCTTGTGACAATTACATTGCATTATACCTTTGTGGGTTGAAAGCCTTAATACGATGAATATATACATGTAAAACATGGCATGATGATATAATCATCATGGGAATATTTAATTATTAATTAATATATAATTATATATTATAATTATATATGTAATTCATAATAATATATAATTAATATATAATTCCCTGGTTTGGAATTTCTCTAACTTTTTTTTTAATGTAAAGAGGAACCTCAAAATAACAGAGGAGGCTCAGATAGACTCCAGGGTAGAGCTCAGAGTCATAAGGAGCATGTTCTCAGGGCTATTGAGGAAAAAGGAAAGTCCCCAAAAGTGCCCTGGGACACAGGTCACGCCAACGAAAGGATGGGACTTTAGCAGTTTGCTCAGAGGGCGGCTGGGCTGCCCCAGACACTGTCCCACTCAGCAGGTGGAGGGGACTCCCAGGCCCGGGGCATCCCAGTACTTCTGTCTGCCTTGCACTGCAGTGGCGCAGAGTCCAAAAACAAAGCCCCAAGCCTTCCTGCCATGCCTCTCCACTCAGAAACAACCAATTTCACATGGACACGAACACGGCACATTGTGAAACTTTTGTTATGAAACGAAGTCACAGCGGGATTCACAAAAGTCCATTTTTTCCAAACACTTAGCTGCATTTAAAAAGCCCTTTCACTCCTGTCTTGGCCAAATATCTTTCTGTCCAGGAAGAAAAATAAAAATAAAACATTCAATTTGGCATTAGGTAAGGGAAGATTGAAGCAAACAATGGTTACTATAAGCCAAGCTTTTCATTTTTATTCATTCAGCCTACAAAATAATCATTTCTATCTGAGGAACAGCTTGTGTTTAAATATCAATTTATGTCTTCACAGAGTCTTAAAAGATTCACAATGAGCCCTCGAATATTAGCATTTTCAGGAACTTTGTTTCTTGCACTTGGAATTGTCAATACAAAGGAGAAAAAAATCTGAAAAAAAAGAAGTGCAATATTGACAAATTGATTCAATACTTTTCTTCTTCTTATGAGCATTGAATCCTCATCCGTCCGAAAAAAATAACGTGAGGAAAGTTCTTTCTCAATAAGACCAAAAAAAAAAAAAAAAAGAAAAGAAAAAAAATCCAGCTGTCCCAAGAAAAGGTGGATACATTTGAGTGCATAAATAATATAAAATTTTGCAAGGCAAAAAATTTACCATGACAAAGTCAAAAGACAAATGACAACCCAGGAAAAAATTTTTTGTAAAACACTGAACAAACAAGAAATGAATTTCCTTACTATATAAAGAACACTTTATAAAGAAAAGTAGGATCACTACTGCTTAAAGAGAACTTACTTTGAGCAAGACAGAATACGTCAAGAATTTTCATGTATTAATTCTTTTATTCCTCCTGACTAGGGTTAGGGTTAGGGTTAGGGTTAGGGTTGCAGTTAGGGTTATGAGCCAGGTGTTAGTACAATCCCCATTTTACAAGTGAGAGGATTGAAGCCAACAGAGGTGAAGTTACTTGTCTCAGGCCACACAGCCAGCGACAGAGTCAGTATTTCAACCAGGCAGTCTGGCTCTGGAGTCTGCACCTGTCATCTCTCTGTCTTCCCTTAGAGACAGTGTTGTTTGGGAGAGGGCTCACTCACTGAATTAGACAAAAAAGATTCGAAGGCATTCCATGGAGGAGAAAAATGCACACTACAGACCTGGGCTAGGCGAGGAAGTCTTCTTGTGCGTTATCCTCTCGGTGTCTGCTGTGGGCGGGGCAGAGGCGGCAGGCAGGGGTGGGTGGGGAATCTCTCCAGGTAGAGGAGCAGCTCTTCCCAGACCCCTGGACTCAGCACCGTGCCCTGCATGTTGGTAACTCAAAGTGGACCAAAGCAGCAGGCAGCAGGGAGGGCAAGGCGACCCACAGGTGATGTAGCAGCCCAGCATCCATCCTCCCTCGCCCAGCACAGCACCTCCACGTTCTTGGGGGGGGGGGACCATCCTCCCCACTCCTACTTCCTCTAGATCAGGTGGGGCTGACCACACAGCCCCAGGTTCCCATGGGCTGGACCAGTTGGAATCACAGGCACTGGCTCAGAGATGGACAGGCTTCAGCCAATAAAAGGGAGTCCTGGAGACTCTGGGCGGACACTGCTATCACACCTGGAAAGCCTTCTTGGAACAGAGCCAGAGCGATGGAGGAACACAAACTTTTGGTGATGTTATCTAAGCACCTCAACCCAGCTTGTGGCACGCTCCATCTCCCAAAGAAGCCACACCGTCTCCCATCCCATCTGCTTTCATGCCATGTGACCTTCCCGCTCTCCACCAAGACTCAGGCCAATTTCTCCACCTGCCCTCTGGCTGATTTGACCAAGCGGAGTCAACAGAAGTGGCCATGCCCAAGTTCCAGGTGCAGCTGTTAACGGCCTGGGAGCTTCAGCTTTCTGCCTCTTGGAGCTCAAAGCCAACATGGAACAAGTCCAGACTCTGCTGGTGGAGAAAGAAACCATGTAGAGGAGCTGGAGGTGCCAGAGATGTGAGTGAAGAAAGTGGTCTTGGAAAAAAAAAAAAGAAAGTGGTCTTGGATATCCACCTCAGGGGCACCTTCAGAGGACCCAGTCCTGGCCGCCACGGCTGCAGGCAACCCCCAGAACCATGAGAGGTGATGCTAAATTGTATTGCACTTGCTAAGTTTGGGAGTGCTTGTTACATAGCAGTCGATAACCAGAACACAGTCTTTACCTGGATCCACTCAATAAATCCCCGAAGCCTAGCTGAGTTGCATTTCTGTTGCTTACAACATTTCAGCTGAAGTTTGACAATCCACAGAGGCGTCCCCTTCCTGACCCCAAAGTCCCACCAAAGGCCACCACGAGGATGTGCACATGGCTCCCTCCTTCCTTCCTGACCACTACTGTGGGTGGCTGATTCGGGGGAGGATGCTGGAGAAGCAGCTTTAGGGTGAGAGGGGGAGCAAGGAGACTCTCCATCCTTTCCCGTTTCCAAGAGGACTTGGTTCAAGACAGAGGTGGCCCTAGGCCTGTGAGAGACACACGTCCACCTACAGTGCAATGGCATGAGAGGACATGAGCTTATCCACACATGTCGACTGTGACAACCAGCTGAAAGCAAGTTTCCATGAGAACCACCCAGAGCCAGCAGAGCAGGCTCGAGAATGTTCTGGAGCGGTGGAGTGATGCTGAGGGCATCAAAACCGACGCCATCCCAACAGGCACATGAAAAGATGCTCAACGTCGCTAATTATTAGAGAAATGCAAATCAAAACTACAATGAGGTATCACCGCACACCGGTCAGAATGGCCACCATTAAAA